TGCGATCAATGTTGAACACTTCGACAAGGCGAGCGATGCCGTAGACGTAATCGTCACGGACAGCATGCTCGAAACGTGGAAGATAAACGAGGAAGCTGAGGCTCGAGACGCCAAGAGAGCCAAGTCTGTGAGTGCGTGCGAGGAGACACCGAGCTGGAGGCTGGCTACGTAGCTAACCTCCAGCTCCGCCCGGATCTGCCCCTCCAAGGGGCCCGAATCGTAATCGATTTATCCACGAAACTATCGCGCCATTTTCAAAACAAATTTAGCAGGATTATAGGAACATGCAATGGGTCCTAGCAGTATAGTTATCTCATATTTTATTTTTTCCATGTCGCAGTGCCCCTTTAGTGAGCACAGGCAGTGCCCCTTTAGTGAGCACAGGCACTGTGCTCACTAAAGGGGCACTGCAAACGAGCGTTCGTAAACAGCGTAGTAGTCGCAAACCGTCGCTGAAAGCTACCTCGAAGCGTCGTCGAGGGAAGCGGCGATGTTTCTTGTTTGTTCGTGGTTAAATTCACAACTGTGCATTCGCGATTACTGCCAGCAATGTGCTCTTCATTAATGTTTGTTTACTCCTTGTTTATTGTGCACGCACAATTGTGTGCCTATCGTAACGGAAGCGTTTGCCGTCGTCGCGTTCTACGGCAATCAACAATTTATTGCGCAAAACCGGATCTCTCAGAAGACGAACAAGGACCTGTAAAGGGAAGAATACCACATGCCACACTCTAAGAAAAGCCCGTGCGTCTACTTTCCCGCACAACACTCGGAAAGCCAATCACCGCAACTTACCGAGGCAACTCAGCGAATGACGATTTCGAAACGTACGTTTAGACCAAAAAACGCAGTCTGAGTTGTGACATTAAGCAATGCAAAACGTCACGCTTGCATTGCTTAATGTCACAACCGTGAAAGTGAAGGAAAGGAAGAGACGAGAGGGGACGCAAGAGCCGCGAGCTCTGGCTGGAATGATTAGTGGGTAGACGTCAAGCTAGCCGCCTTCGTCTCCACTGCACCCGTCGAACACGTTAGAATGCGGAACGCCGGCGTCTGGCCGTTCGGCTTTCGTATTCGAACGCATTCGACAAGTGCAGTGGGGACAAAAACAGCCTTTGTCTCCACTGCACTCGTCGAACGCGTTAAAACGCTGAACGCCATATTTCGGCGTTCGGTTCTCGCACTGGAACGCGTTCGACGAGACGATGCAGCTATGCGGAGCGCAAGTTCGTCTGCTTCTTTTGCAGGGGTTGTGGTGACGTCAGAAAGACGTCGAGCTCTGATTGGTTCTGATTGAAGGATAGCGGATAGACCTCAAAGCAAGCTGCCTTGAGCTCTGCCCACTATCCTTCCAGTCAGAGCCAATCAGAGCTCGGCGTCTTTCTGACGTCACCACAACCCCTGCTAAAGAAGCAGACGAACTTGCGCTCCGCATAGCTTTAGGCCTACCCACTAATCATTCCAGCCAGAGCTCGTAGCTCTGGCGTCCTTGCGCACTCTGGTCTCCTCCTCTCCCTCACCTTCTCGGCGCATTGAAATATACACGACTGTATTATTTTCACACGGATTCAAGTCACTAAAGTAACTTTTTAAAATCGTATTTTTGGTCTTAAAGATTACGGCATATTTTACAGCGATAAAAACAAAATAGCTAATTGTCATTTGACGGCCGTGGTACCCTTAGCGAAAGAATGCGGAAACAGCAGGCACACTTGAGCGGTGCTAAAAACAAATTTGAAACGTGCTTTTTGTTTTCTCGAGCTGAACGAAATTTAATTAAAACCCGTGAACCTAAGCGCTGGCCGGCCGGTAAGCACCTTTTTTTGACGCTCTGCATCTCAAGGCTCGTAGCCATAGGTTGCAAGCAGGGTATCTGGCTTCCGACATTTTTCTCTTCGTTCTTTTGCGGATCAAAGCTGTGCACGCGCTCTTTTCAGTTCTTCCGATAGGCCCCGATAGCTGTGTAGTTGCTAGATTATTGTAACACTAAATGCACACTGGATTTGTAGGCACACGCGCCTCACGTGATCACCTCGTCTGTAGGAAAATTCCAAATAAATGACTGAAATACGGTGATGACAACTGCGCGTGTAATGCACCAGTTATTTCAAATATTTACCCTGAAAGTTGCTGTCACAGAAGCCAGCACGTCCAGTACTATCGCGGACAATAGGAGCTGAAGCAGCGCTCCGGCCGGCGGACGGTACTACCTGCGCCGCCTGTCGCCTTGCTCCGCACACATGACGCACCCTGAGTCCGAGATGAATTCTCACTTGCGCTCGCTGCGCCACTGCGCTGTTCCGGCCGTCTGCAAGCGAGACGGCGGGTGCGACAGCGGGCGTGTGTGCGGTAGGACGGCAGGGGGAACCAAGGATTACACTTGTCGTCCCTCTTTTGGAATTGATCTACTATTTATCACGCAGAATCCCGTACAAAAAACCCTGATTGGTGAAGAAAAAATGTTGAAGTGTCTTAAATTTCAGCTGGGATTATCGTTTTTGAAAGTCACATAAATAGACGTTGCAGGTTGTTCTTCTTTGAATATAGGGGCATGCACAAAGTAGGACATCGTAAAATATAGGCCGAAATCTGTATGCCGGATTTAGTCCGGCTCGAAGGTATTTACTTTTTTTTTTCTTTTTCGTTGATTACAGATGTTTGCAAAAACGCTAAGCATGCATGTTATTGAGAAGGTTTTGTAACCATGATTGGTATGAAAAGGTTAAAAAATATAATTTCTTTATTATTGGGCCCACCTGTTTGTTTCAAACAAAACAAATTGCTGACAAGACACCAGTTTTTTTTTTTTTTCGTTACAAATTTCTAGTCTTAATAAAGTGGGACAAACAGTCATATATATCTTCCCGAAGAAGGAGATGTAAACTTAATCGAAAGAATATTTTCAGACGACAATGTAAGACACAAAAGGTTTATAGTCGGCGTGGAAGTTCAACTGCACTATACAAGAAGATCGGGAGCAAGGAGGCAATATACAAAAGTATGCGTGGTTAACGGCGTTAAACAGTGTGTCGCAACCGTAGCATCAAGCCTTGTTCCAATCGGCAGAAGTCCGGTGCAGGGGATTCTGAGGCGTAGTAAAACTTTCAAGATAATTTAATACCGCGTCATTCTCCCCTGACCAGCGACCACGGCTCTCATCCTGTCTGTTAAAGGGGCCCTCCGGAGCTTTCTGCGATCGTCTGTTTATGTTGTTATATTGCGTAGTAGGTGCAAGTTAATATGTATACAAAGTTTTAGATTACAAAAGGATAAATATATCGCAGAAAGGCAGGAGAAATATATCGGGACTATTTTCTCATGGAAGACAATCCCCCATTCCTTGCCCATCGCTAAAACTTGACCAATGGAAATGCTGCATCTCGCGGTGAATGCGAACGTTATTATAGCAACACTTTTTAAGCTTGTTGTAAATTAGAGTTTGAGAAAAATGTAAACTGATTGTGGTACGGGAGACATAGTCCGCAATTATCGCTCCAAAACCAGCGAACTATGTTTTCTCCCCGCAAGCTTGTTGCTAGGGGGTGATGCGTCGACGCGTCGGCTCGTCTGCTTCCCGGGGCGTCTGCAGGCGTGCGTTTGCGGGACAGGTGTTCCTTCTTCCCGTGGATCCCGACTCCGAAGCCAGCTTTTCGATCCTTTCACGTCAACGAGTCAAACTTTTCCTTGTCATCTGTGGAATGCGACTGCGTATTGTAGTAGCAGCGCGACGGTGCGGTGCGGCGAACGACGACCGCCGAGCACAAAGTCCGGGCCCCTTGACGACGGTTCGCGCGTGTTCGAGAGATTCCTCCGCGGGTCGGCGGTCGGCCGCGTTGGTGACGCGCAGTGACGCCGGAATCCTTTACCTGCTATTGGCTGACGCGTAAAGAGATGCCCCTCCCGTTTTCCGAGGTCATCTCAGAAAGGGGGGCGTGCCGGGGACTTTGATAGCAATTTTAATAGGGAAATCCGCCGCGCATGACGGTAATATTATGATTTTTAGGATCCTTAGGGCCTGTAGATTGAGTTACCGCCATAAATAGACCATCGCAGAACGCTCCGTAGGGCCCCTTTAAGAAATCATAGAGCGCGGCCACGAAGTCTGGCTCAGCCCCAAGCCACTCCCATTCACCTCTGATTGCTTTCCACAATTTGTGGGCAGTGGCGCGGTCGAGGGGATGCCGTGACATGGCTACCTTGATGCGCCTCCAAATGTTTTCGGTGATATTTAGATCGGCTTCTTTTTGGGGCCAAGGCAGCTTCGTCAGGCAGCGCTCCTCGAGGAGATACGAGCGTGACAACGCATTTTCCACTTCGGCGCTTTCTTGAAATGCACTTGAATGCATGTTAGCTGAAAACGTGAACATTGGGCTACACGGCACACGCATCGTGATGGTGGTTCCGTCGACCAATATTTTCGGTAGCAGTCTGCCGGAAGAGCGCAGCGGCGCAGTGAGCGCAAGTGAGAATTTATCTCGGCCTCAGGGTGCGCCGTGTTTACGGAGCGATGCGACAGGCGGCGCAGGTAGTACCGTGCACAGGCCGGAGCGCTGTTTCAGCTCATATTGTCCGCGATAGTACATGTGTCCACGAACCCAGTATTTTTTTCTGGGTCACTTCAATGTTGTGCCGATGGGAATGGCAAGGCGTCTCTTTTGAATGCGCAGCCTCCAGCACGCGCTCCTTCCAGCGTGCTTTGTCAGCGCATGCACGCTGAGGCTGAACACCGAAGCGTTCTCGAAGGTAGGAAGCTCGCGCTGGACGCGATACAACTGAAGCAGATGCCCCGGCTGGTGCCGCGTGCTTGCAAGCACGTGCAGTACGTGCGACGTGCTTGTTCTCACGAGCGGAGGCAGTTTCGAGTACTTCGAGTACAACCCATTCGTGCTGCCTTCTATGGTATGTAGCGCCAAGGTTAGCTAAAGCGGAAAGAAAACATAAAGAGGGCTTTTTCAGAACACATTTTCGTGCAAAATACGATCCCCCGACCTGCAATGAAAATGCCGTTCCTTCCAAGTCTGGCTCTCGAGGTTGGCGAATTCAATAGTTGCGGGCGCCTCCTCGCGGTGCATCAAGCTTTCCTAGCCGAGCAGCGGGGCTGGCCCCCGGGACGGCCATGCAGCACGTTCTCCAGGCCCGGCAGCAAGCTCAACTGTGAGGCGGGGGCCGGGGACTTGAGAATGCTGCCGTCGGGGGCCGACAGCAGTGCCGAGCTGGAGACTGAGAAGCCGGCCCACCGGCGCTACCTGCGAGATTTCCGGGTAGAGCAGTGCCCCTACTTCCCGAACTACAAGTGCCAGAACCACAAGCCATACACCTGTTTCTACTGGCATTTCCCAAACCAGCGTCGCCGGCGTCCGACGCTTACTCTCGACGGTGCGTTCAATTACAGCCCAGACGTGTACTGCGCCACGTACGACGAAATTACGGGAGTGTGTCCGAACGGGGACGACTGCAGCTTCCTGCACCGAACGCTGGGGGACACGGAGCGACGTTACCATCCCCGCTACTACAAGACGGTCATCTGCGTCCACGAGGCTGGCACGCAGGGTCACTGCTCGAAGAACGGTCCCCACTGCGCGTTTGCACATGGACTTCAGGACCTGCGCAACCCCGTGTACGGTAGCGTCGAGTGCCGCATTTTGCGCCTGGGTCTGTGGTTGCCGCCTGAGTGTTGGGCCACCTTTCTACACGAGGACCCCAGCTGGCAGGACGTGGGGTATGTCTTGACCCACTACAAGGTGCAACCCTGCCTGCGTCCTCCGCATCTCGGTCTCTGCCGCATGGGTCTGGCCTGCCCCAACTACCACGATTGTCGCGACCGGAGGCGCAGCCCACCCAGCCATCACTACAGCTCGACGCCGTGTCCCAGCGTGCGCCAGGGAACCGAATGGAGTGACGCGGACAGCTGCGCCGAGGGCGACCTGTGCAGCTTTTGCCACGGCCGCACAGAGCAAAAATTTCACCCAGAAATCTACAAGTCCACGATGTGTAACGACTTCCAGCGCACCAACTACTGCCCCCGGGGACCCTTCTGCTCGTTCGCCCACTCTGAACACGAGACGGCCCAAGTAAGGAAAGTGTACGGTGCCATATTATCCTCGCTTACCAGTGACAACCCAAATTCTGGAACGCCGTTCGACGAAACCCCGCCCGCCTTGGCAGCAGAGGACCTCGAAAGTGTCCAACTCCCGCCATTCGGCTTTGACCCCGCCCCGGGTTCGGGACGACCAGCCCTCGAGGGTCCCACGCCGTCGCGGCCTGAAGGTCCCCCGGCCGTCACGGAAACGATTCCTCAAAGCGAAGATGACAAGACACTGGTGGAAGTGGTGAGCTCGGTCATTACTAGCGTGATCAGTTCAGCCGATCTCCTCTGGGACCCGAATGTGGAGGCCAGTCAAGCTTGCGCCGACTACTGTTATCCCTGGTTAACGCGCAGTTTCGGATCGCTGACCAAGGACTGCCGCAGTGTCTGGGATCCATCGGGAATCTGGGCGGACCAGAGTCTCTATGCGCCCAAGTCGTGCCTCATGTGTACCGCCTGGAAGCGCGAGGCGAGGGCCTCGGCACGCCGAGAGCAGCTCGCCGAACAAGAGAAGCAGAGGGCCCTGGCAAAACTCGGCGAACTCGAGAAGCGTCTGAGCGACGCCGTGCGACCCAGGAGCAAGGCTAGGCGGGAACTCTGGGAGGCTTCCCAAGCAAAACTTGTTGAAAACACTTGTCAAAGTTGTGAGAAGGCTCCATGTTGGACCAGGGAAGACGCTTGATTGTTTTTCGTGCAAAATCAGTGCCGCAGTCTCGCGTTTGCTCGCTTTCTCTATGGCTGCCGTCGCAATGCAGCCCGTGTGCCCCTTCGCCCTCTCTCGTGATGCCCGGTGGGCTGCTTCCCTTTCGTATCTCGCTGGCCGTTCCGCGCATCACACAAGTAGCCTTTACGCTGCTCTCGTGTATCCGTGGCTACAAGCAAAAGAGCATCTGTCCGGAGAGTCGGCTGGCCCCGACGTTAAATTTGTGGTCAGGCGACTGCAACCCTTGAGAATTGAGTCAGCATCACACACGTCATAAATATCCTTCTGCGAGTGGACGATACTGACCTCATATACGAAGCGAGTGTAAATATGTTCCTCGAGTTATTTCTAATAGGAAACGCAAGAAATAAAATATTAAGATCCATTGTTTAAACTGATACCGCGTGTTTGCTTATCTTAGTTCAGGGCGGCATCTGTTTCTTGAGTATGCGCGTGCACGGCCACTCGAATTCACGTCCAAAGAAATTTCGAGCGGCCCTGACATTTTTCGGGATTGTCGGAGCTTCGCTGACCAGTCTCGGATGCCATGCACAGTGGTACGAAGGTGACGTCGCCACTTTCGCCACCGCTCCCGAGTCTTTCCACGAAGTCGCAAATGCCCCAAACCAAAGTTCAAAACTTGATATTCAGACAATTATACCGTGCCATACAAACAAGAAATTATAGCCCGTAATTAAAGAACGTTGAATGCTTTAAAAAGTGCCCTTCAACCCCAGAGGCCTCAAAATTTAACAGGACTGTGCAACGATATTGACTAGAACCGTTTCTCACTTTACACCAGCTTCTTGGCATTAGTGGAACCCAAGAATACTGAAACGCCACACCGCTTACCAACAGGCGTCTTCTTCGCGGTAGAATTCCAAAGATACACGTTAACCTTTTCTTTCAGTCTCTCTTTCGCAAAATTTGATGACGGAGCTGTGGGGACAACCGGTGGTAATCAGTTCATCGCACGACGTTTCATCGACAGATCGTTTCATCGACAAATCGTGTCATCAAAAGCTCAAAGTAGCCTCTTTTTTTTCTGTAATAAGCTGCATGAGACTGACGCCGCGAAGCGCTGTGTACGGGTCGGTCAGGTGGGCTAACATGTTTGTAATGAGCCGCCGAAGACTGTCGCCGCGAAGCGGCGTGAACGCAGGCGGGGGATAGGTTAACGTTCACCCCAGTGATACACGCGTGACGAAATGTCCCTACAGCGTGAAATTCGCGTAACGGGTGTCATCGAAACGTTCGTGCCGACCAAACGTGTGTCCATGGAACGTGTGTCCATAAAAAGTGGCGCACGAAACTTAATAGACCCTTTCCGAAATTCAGTCTGGCTACTTTGATCACTATCATCATCAGTGGAACGGCATCTGTGCAAGGACGTTTAAACAGACAGGACCCGGCATGACGTCAGCCTGAGTGAAGCCGGAAGAGGCGTTTAATCCCAGACTGCCTTGCGCACCCGTTCCGAGGCCGTGGAGTTGCGCACCGGCGGTTCGTCTGCTTTCTAATCTGCTCCGGCGTGTGCTTCACGAGGCTAGCTTTCGATGCGGTCGGCGTCCGCCGTGGGCGTCCACGATGCAAATGCTTTGCAGCGTGAGTGTTTATACTTAGTTCCACATTATGTGCGAGCGAAGTCAGAACTGGAAGCGCGAGCCCGTTGTTCTGCGCGCTCCTGGCTTGCATGCGCGCTCGTGCGATCTACTGCTGCTGTTTATTAAAATATGCGTTGCGCACCGCCAAGTCCTTCACGGTGCGTCGTCTAGAGCGTCTCAATTCTAGTCACTTACTTTCTGCTGGGCAACCAGGCGTTCGTTTATAATAATCTCATCCAATTCCGACCATACCGGTTTAAAAGTCTCCCGTTAAGCGCTGCTTCAAATAACAGTGGGTGCCGCCATTACTTTCGGTGCACACAGTCGTGTTGCCACGGAAATGTCATCGCAACGCGGTTGTTTGCACCGAAATTAATGGCGGCGCCCACTCACTAGGCTTCCCATTGGTCAAGAAATGCTCGTTGCGGCTCGTGGCCACGCCTACTTCCGTTACACTTCGCTCCATGCATTGGGGATAGGGACGCCACCTCCTGCCCATTATAACCTCCTTGCATCTGTGCCATACGAATGGCGGCCTTCTAGTGACTGATAAAAGAAGACGTTGAGGATGCTCCTAAGCGGATCTTGCGAGGCCTGTACATTCGGAAGGTCAGTAATAGGCGACGTAGGAATGGAACGCAAGAGCTACGTAAGCGTTTATTTCCAATAACTCAGATTCAGTCAATCTGAGTGCGGGACAGAATCTGCTTTAAAGCACTTTGGTGTGTAGAATTTTCTCGAGGCATCTGAGTGGGTTGGAGCTTTGTTCTGAATGCAGGTTCTTGGCCACCGTCGAACTGAAAGTGATCGAGAAAGAACTCACTGAACAATTCCTCGCGTGCTGTTGACTTGCGAAAGTGACGGTGCCGATACAAGTTCATTTCCGCCATTGATATGGCAAAACCTAAACTGCTGTACAAACCACCAGATGGCACTGAATTTCGGAAAGGGTCTATTCCACGAAACGAGTTTCTACATAAGAATAGCCCCCCCCCCCCCGGGCGGCGTCTGCTGCAGCGCCATCGGCGATGCAACAGACGCCGCGGGTCCCTATGCGTACCAGCGCTAGCGACTCACTTACTGTTTCGGAACGCAGGGCGAGGTATCCACACACAATCGCAGCATCAAACATTGTAGGAGGGTGCATGTTTAAAGGGGCGCTGCAACGATATTCAATTGGAATGTATACACGAACTTACTGGCACTAGTGGGACTCAAGGACACTCGCACGCAACGCCACTGGCCAACAATCGCCTTTGTTGCTGTGTAATCCTTATGATGTACCGCAGGAAAGGCTACAAGCGCGAGCTCCTTGCACTGGGGCACATCTCGGCGTCACAAGGTCTCGTGAATTAAGAGCTGCTACCAACGCTATCAGCTCGCGCTTCTTGCCTTCGCTGCGGTACAACATAAGGTGAAACGAAGTATAGCGTTTTCATTCGCAACTTTCACGACCTATAGGGGGCGCGACGGTGCCTATCAAAATGGCTGTCGTCTGGATGATCGTCCTAGAACAGCAGTACGAGGCGGGGTCTGCAACGCGTAAGTAATTCTAGTTTTGCTTTATTCGAGCAGTATCTGAGCCTTATTTATTTTTTCACGTCAGGAAGGTGTAGGCGAGCACCATTATTGTGAAGCCGATCATTCAGGAGCTAGGGAGCGCGATTCTCATTCCGCGGTACCACCATCGCTGAAAGTTGCGAATTTAATCTCTCCTTCGCAAAACTTGATGACGTAGCTGGGCGGTCGCAGTACCGCCTAGTCGCGATATTTGAATGCGGCTATTGGACACATAATATTGGACACGAGCATTACATGGATACTCGATTTGGGCTCGTGATAATCGATATCTCGAGAAGCATTCGGGTAGTGGCCCGTGTCCAATCGCTGCAATGACGACAGTAGCCGAACCCTAACAATAGACAGTTTTAGTATAGCGTTGCTGGCTCTTACGTACGCAATACGCAATAGTATAGCGTACGCTAAAAATGACCTGCTCGGACCGAATTTAGTTGTGCGTTACGTTTTAGAGTGAACGCTGCCCATGATCTTGGTTAGATTTGCTAGAGCTGCAGAATTCCGCGTGCTTATAGCGCAACCATGCTGGAAAGAAAAATTGAAAATGAAAACGTGTCCAATCATTTTATTTCAAATTAAACCAAGCCGCAGCTGCCTCGTCAAGCGCGCTTTTCTGCGGGGTACAGAGGCTACGAGTAAAGGCCGGTTCAGACACTTGCGTTTGAGTGCGTTTGACTGCGTTGCGTCGAGAACCGAAAGCGAGTCACCGGCACATCTGTGCTTCGTGTGAAGCGTGCAATCCAATTCAAAAAATCATCTTAGCACGCGATATAAGTAGCAGGGATGTCCTGGTTTCTCGCTGCCGCAATGCAGTCAAACGCAGTCAAACGAAACTGTCTGAACCAGGCTTAAGAGTGCGTAGCCAAATTCGATCACGGAGCCTCCGTCAATCTTCCCTTTGAAACGGCACCTTTTATCAGTGCTATCGCGGAATGAAATTCATGACCTACTGATGTCCAGTACATAGCGAGAACTTCGGCGATTTCTTTTAGAGTCGCTCGTCCGTCGGCGATGAACTGTGCGAATGGGCTTAGCGTTGAGCAGATCGCAGCGTTGACGCACATTCCAAGCGGCGAACATTTTCACTGTGCACTCCTTCAGCTGCACGGCAATCTGATTCGACCGCCGTAGGTCCCGGAAAGAATCGCCGAGCTGAACACCACGCAATTTCACGTAACACAGAACTTCGAAAACACCACGTCGCCTTTGCTGCGCCAGTCGAGGTAACCGCCATCTTGAAACTGGCGCTCTCGTTGGGTCTGAGATCCCTCGAGAACGTCCCGCAGAGCCCGCTAGCCCGCCACGCAAAATCCCCAGCGTTGCGTGCGTACGCAATACGCTAGCTCTTCTATTGCGTTCTGCGCACGCGCACTCCCGACCCGCAATTTTATTGCGTACGCAAGGCTTTAGCGTACGATCCACTAAAACTGTCTATTGTCTGGAACTCAGCGCGTGTCCTGTGCTTTGCCAACACTAGCGCGTGGCTACGATCAACATTGGCGGCATATAATTGGCTCCAGATCATGTGGCCGCTTGTTCTGGCTGCGAGTTGAGGGGGAGAACACTGCTTGCTTAGAACGCTGTTTCTTTCATTTTTTTTTTTTTTGCGACTTCAATTGCGCGTGATAAAAAACGAATGGGTGTTGCACAGGTAATTAACGTCAGAGATCCGTTCTGATCGGTATTTGCGCAAAGTACCAAAATCATTGCATAACCCTTTAAAGGGTTGGAGCGGGCTTTATTACGATCGCGGCCTCTGTTCCAGCATGTCGTGGAAGCCTGCGCTGCCACGAGCTC